CTGCCCACTCACTGTGTGTTTATGAAACAAAGAGCAAATGAAAAGCTCCTCCAACAATGAAGCCATTAGTTTGGCCACATACCAACCCCTCTTGCCACTATTACCTCCCAGCAGAAATAGCACCACCCAAGCTATACGGGAACTATTTGTAGCTACAGAGGAGGAAACTTCATTTGACCTCCACAAAAGAAGAACAAGTATTTTGGCTTGTTTTCTTTCTGTAATGGTGTCATTTATCACTATGACACATATTCATTGACTTAGTCTGAATTTTTTCAGTGTCAGATTTATACTTCTTTTCTGGTTTGAATATTGATGCAGCACTTCCCTTACATGACTATATGGTGTCTGCCAAATGGTGTCTAGACGCTACAGCAGCTTTGACTTGTTAGTGTAGTCACCCCAGTCACTCAGTTTTGGCATTTACCTACTCTTTATGTTACTGCTGTCAAGCCATAAATAGGTACCTAAGCACAATCAGTTATGTAAAGAGAGGTGGCAGCAAGCATGTTCAGACTTCACCTAACATCACTGAGGTGAGCACAGAGGACAGCAGCCGTCACTCCCTGCATTCACTAACTTGGAAAGTAGTTGTAACCACTCGCTTGGACATCACAGCATACGTGTGTGCAGTCAGTGGGAGATCTGGATTCAATGTCTTCCATGGTCTGAAGATCACCAATGCAAAGGCAAGGCTAAGAGAGAGGATTTCTCTCTCTCAAGGCTCAGTCCCTGAGTACCAGCAATTGAAGATGCATACGGCCAGAGAGAAAAAAGGAAGAGAAATCACCATCTGCTAGACCAGCGATAGGGATGCTTCTTGAGGAGGACTCATATATCTGGTTTGTAGAGTTGCTTTCCAATAGGCCATGATTTACACCAGATCCAAACTAAAAATGCAATTTTAGAAATCTTCTGCAACTTCATCATTTGTATCATGCTTCTAAATATTGCACCAGTACTGAAGCTGAGTTGACCAACTTTATGGGGGAGAACTGATAAATATCAAAGATAATTTCAGAACATCAAAGGACTTTTACAAAACCTTCAGAATAAAAAATAGTGAAAACCTAATCAATGCTGCCTATGCAACAGGCTGTGCTAATATAAAATTAAATTGCCTCAAAAATTGTATGCAGATTAAACACAATACTGCTGTTAACAAAGCTTATTTGTAAGCAAAATTTGAAAGTTTTGATTTATCCTGCTGAGTATTTGAAGAACCACTATCATAAGGAAAACAAATTAACTTTGGTTTCTTTGTATTTTTAACTCTTACAAATGATTCTACTGGTGCTAATACAAAGTATTAGAGGATAGCAGGTTTGGGATTTTTTTTCTCTTCATCTCAGAAAGACTGTTTGTTGTTTGAGCAGATTTTCTTTGAATTTGCCAGTAGGATTATTCTTATTTTTTCAGTTAGTGGTATACAAAATATTTAAAGTAAGCTTTCCAGAAGATCTGCAGTTTACTTTGAGGAGATTTTCCGGGGCTAAGATAGGACTCATTTAATTTGTGGGGGTTTTGCCCTACAAAGAGAAGATTTTTTTTTTTTTTTTTTTTTTTTTCCTTCACAGGAAGAAGATTTCTGTGTGGTTCTCTTCAGTTCCTCTTTTTTCATGTGAGAGAAAGGAAAAAATCAGTAATGCTGTTGTGCACAAAGAGGATTTGTGATTCTTCAACAGAAAAATAAATTAATAGTTCCTTTTAAATGTGGTCCTGCTACATGTTATGTACAATATAAAACTACCTCTCTCTATCCAGCCATCTAGTAAATAGATACATATATGTACATTGCACGTGTAAAATTGTGCACACTTGAAGGCACATGTTTCAAGCTCTGTTTGTTCTCTAGATTGGAGAAAATCTGCTCAGTCATGGGTTAGACACTTACCCACAAGTTACTACCTACAGGTTGCTTCCTGCTGAAGGAACAGTTAACACAATATGCATATTTTTTTATAGGACCGCTATCATCTGATTGTTCTTTTTCAGCATCCCTAAAAGGATTGTCTCTTTTACCCAAACAGTTCTTCATATCATGTGCAATACCTTAAGATAAATGATTCTATGGTTCCTAATTAGGCTAATTTGTCTCTCTGTATAAATTGCAGTACCACTGTTTTGGTATTGCTGATGAACACACTTTCATCAGTGACAGTCTACTGGAAATGTTTGGGGCTAGACCTTCAGTGAGTGTTAATCAGCAGATCTTTGCTGAAAACAGTGGAGTTATTTTGTGGCAGATGGAGGTCTGTCTCTGTTTTTATTTGCTGGCCTTAACTTTATCTCCAGTGGAAATGAATCCACTTAAATATCAGGTGCAATTAACAGCTCAGGAGGGAGTGAGAACTTTGATAGTATGAAGTTTGGATGACTCACTAGGGAGGAGATGTATGATGATGTCCAGTAATGCTTGGGCCAGAGCTATCTGAACTATATTTGTCTTAGGAAAACTTAAATGTTGCAACATTGTCAGATCATTACCTTTTATGACCACAAAAATTCTTCAAAAATTAACATAGAAATCAAGCTGTATGCAAAAGGGAACAGCAGAGCAATTTTTAGCCTTCTTTAGGGTTTACAACAAATAAGTTCTTTAAGCAGACTGGGTAGTAGATGACTAGTGTTGTTCCATAGTTATCAGTCCTTAAAAACATTTAGAGAAGAGGAATGTATTAAATGATCTCTGGACCAATGCACCTAATCTAAGGGAGAACTGGACATTTAAGAATGATGAAATGATTGCAAGAAATGTTTTCAGGATTATCAAGATGCTGATTGTATAATTGCATCTCTGAAAAGATTTATTTGTGGTCACATGAATAATGAAATTTAAATCTGAGGAGCTGCTTTGTTTTAGAAATGCAAAAACACTGCACATACAGCAGGCTTGCTCTTTCTACCATGCAAAGGTTTTTCATACTAGATAGATGTAATACGCTGTATTCTGTCCTAAAAAAGACTTCATCCAGGTATTAGTAGAATTTGTAAAAACCTTAGAAACTGTAAACTGTCTTTGTTCCCGGTTGCTCAGAAGGCTGGATCTGAGCCACTATCGTATTGACTGAGAGAGGAATCACTGCAGTGACATAGGACTTCCTTGCCCAAATTTTCTTCACAGTGCTGCTATTTATCTCTTCCCAGAACTTGGAATCCATTTCTTCTCAGCCTGTCCCTGGTAGGTACAGTATATATTCACCAGCAAAGTAGAGATTTTATCAATATTTAGAAATTTATGTATACATGTAGGGCATCTTGAATGATCAGTAGAGAGCTTGAAGCTATTGAAGGCAACTGGGTACAGATGTCCATCTTAAGGTTAAATGGTTAAATAAGGGAAGGGAGGGAGTGAAAATCTTACAGTTGTCTGTGGTTTGAAGGCAACCATGGATTTGCTGGTGTCAGTATAGCTAGCGAGGGATGGAACTAAAAAGAGGTCATGAGAATAGCTCAGATAAATTCAGGTACAGTTTGCATACACTATTTATAGGATACTTTCTCAGACTAAGCCTGTGAACCTTTTGAAGTTTGCCCATCACTACTTTCAGGCCAATTAATGAGGTACATCCAATCGTATTCTGAGATAGGTAACACAATAAAGCAAACAAAGATAATTAGTCTCTGGAGCATGTAAACAAATAAAGTAAATCACTTGCAAATCACTTGTTTCTTCTAACTTTCGTGTTTTCTTTGCAAAACTAAAAAAAAGCATTTATATTGCAAATCTACATAATGCTAGAGCAGTGCTGAAAATGCATAGATTATACTATTCTGGTTTTGAGAAAGCTTTGCAAAGATTAAGCACCTGATCCTGAAACATCACTGTGAGTTGTTATATGCAAAGGAACATTTTCATCCGTTTTTCACAGAAGAGAAAATGGGAGTAGGGAGGTCAACTAATTTTGTTCATGGAGATAAAGGTCTAAATGACATTTTATAAATAAACAAAAGTCACCGCTCCAACTTTACAAGTCTAAGTGAAAGCACTAGTAAAACTGAGGAGAACACGCCAAGATGGGCAGGACAGTGGCTGTGGGATGTGGGACCTTGACCCACCTCAGTGATGCCTCTCAAATTTTACAGACCTGAATGGGAGCATTATGTGGCCTTTAAAACCCAAAGAACCAGAAGAGTTCCTGGCTGCTAGTCTACTTTTTTTTGTTTTGTTTTGTTTTCCAATGTACTAGTAATCTTTTAATTGCAATACAGCTTCAGTCCTGGTCTTAGAGCATTTTCTGTAAGTAAGCAGTGCTCTCCCCCACCTTGGACATGGGGTAACTGAGGTAAGTGAAGATAATACAGCCATTCAGCAGCAGAACTTGATGCAGAGCACACATTCTCTTCTTCCCAGCCCTGGGCTCAGTACTGTAGACTTTGGATAAATGCACATTTTACAAGAACAAATAGATTCTCAGTACCATAGCTCCAGGGAGCTATGGAGACCATGCCATCTGGATCTGCCTGCTGCCCCAGTTCAGCCAGCTGGTTCTGCAGGCCAGTCCAGAACAGGGGTAAACCCATTGCCTGGAAACTCAAGGCAGTACCAAAGCAGGTCCTGCCTCGAGTAAGAGGGCTCTGTGAGCACAAACATACAGTTTTGTGTAATCAGTAAAACAGCAGAAACTGTGTTCTGAATCTGTAGATTAACAGATTCCAGTTAAGAGTTCAGATCAAGGCAAAATGACTGCTCATATGATAAAATCACTCTTTGTCTTTTTTTTGGCATGAAAATGCAGAACATTTCTTTTAGTAAAGGGCAGGCACTTCCCTGTTGTTCTGTCCCTTTTTACTGTTTTCTTACACTGTTTTGTTCTGACTTCAAAAATGGATTCTGAAAGGAGATGCATCTTAAAAAGAGACTCTCATCAGCTGAAATGTGTCCAATATACATTTAAGTTAAAGAATATTCAGCCTTGTCCAAAAATAAAAAGAGTATAAAAGGTAAGAATGCCTGCAGGCTTGATTTTTAAAGATATGCATTTTTCTTCATGTTGCAGATCTCGCCTTGCAGATTTCTTCACAAACTGCCAGCCTGAGTCACGGTCTGTTAGTAGCTGTCTGAAGGAGAACTATGCTGACTGCCTCCTTGCTTATTCGGGTCTTATTGGTAAGAAGGCAGGGAAGGGTGGGGGCTTGCTTGGTCTAAGAAAAACTCCCAAACTATATTTTGAAGGCCCGCGTGAAATAAAAACTGTGGAATATAATACCGTACAATATGATACTAGGCAAGATTGTCCACCTAACTGTACTGACCCTGTTTTACCTTACAGAGATTCCTGGGGTAGATCTGTATATTGCAAGGAAATTAAGGATAGAAGATAAGGAGAGAAAGGTGCTTGAATTTGAAATAAATTCAAGCTTACAAAGTAAATCTTATTGAGGTGGTTGAATTTGGACAGGACCGTGAAGTAGGAAGTTAAAAAGAACAAGTGAAACTGCAGCTTGGTTGATTTTGCAGCTGTCCTCACAGGGATGGGTAAACACCTTTCAGTCTTCAGGGAAAGTTTGCGGGTCGTTGGAGGAATGAGACAATGCACCAACGCAACCTCGTTTCACTTCCAGCTCCTATTCTTTCCATTATGTCCTTTTGTCTACTCTAAATCTTTTCTGAGATGCTTGTCAATGAAGGTGAACTGAGACCAGATTTATCTTCTGAAATCCTCTTCCCTCCCCAACATAATTAATTTTGTTTGCTGTCACCTTCTTGACTGTCAACAGGCACAAGGATGCCTTTATGCAAACTGGATTCCATGTAACACACATGGTATTTGATTCCTGAAGGAGAGACATCATCTCAGGAAGGTGAACTTCTTGTAGAAATACCATGGTTGGGCAATAAAGAAGAAGTGAATGTCAAAACTCTGAAACAAACACATTTTAAAGGCCACCAGATAAGATGTTTTTAAGCTTACAGACTGCACCTGCTGCGATGCAGTAATATCCCCTTCTGTTGGGCGTGAAGGTCCCAGCTGAGGCCCTGAAGCAGATCCTGCTGTTAAATAAATGTCTCTGGAGATAATATCCAAAATCAAATATTTCTAAAATAGGTTGAGTTTGCTGAAAAATGACTGAAAGCTATATTCTCTGGCTTATTGTTATCGTTGTTATTACTCTAGCGGTTAAGAAGTGAGGTTAGTCTGTGTGGCAACTGGTAAAATAAGATGTGATGGTTTCAGAGGATATGCTTCTACAACTTAAAAGATGAAGACAGGATGAAAAGGGTATAACATATGAACAGTTATGACAGAATGTCATTTGACTCTAAAACAAAGAATTGAATAGCCTTGAAATCTGATCTAGTCAATGAGATTAAGAAGTCTAGCTGCTGGCAAAGGGTAACTGTTACTAATAGATACTTCTGGCAGAATAGATCTGCCAAGAAGTTCATGCTGGACCTAGTGAATTTTGCTGGCAGTTTTGTTGGTTCCATTTTTCAGTTTAACCTCAAGGATGATCCAGTTCCTATAGCCAGGTGGTTTTGTGTTACTGTAGATGACCATGGTGCAAAACAGTCATGTAGCAGAAATGTGGAATGGATCCCTAAGGAGTTGAAATCAAAAGGAGATGTAATTTTCAAAGGGAAACATAAACACTTTTCTTCCTTCCTGCTAGCCCCTCAACACTTTCAAAAAGATAGGAACTGACTGATGTTACACGAGTTTTTATGTCTTGCTGGAGATTCTGATAAACCAAAATTAACAAAACAAAACTTTCATGTGCTGAAGCAGTAAACTGCTTCTGATATCAAGCTTATATAGAAGTGGAGTAAATTTTGTGAAGGACATCAAATTTGTAAGATGCTGAGATAGAAATCTGAGGTACAATCTTTCAAATGTCTGCTTGATATATATAAAACATAGAGGGAGGATATAGGTAGACTGTGGGTAAGAAGCTGTTACAGATCCATTCATTCATCAGAGCTTCAGGATCTCCAGGTATTTTAATTAAGATAAAATATTATTCATTAAAATAAAATATTATTTAATTTAGCCGTTTCATTAAATGTAGCAAAAATTGCACATCCATAATATTTGTTCAGGAAATTGAGGATTCTCTGTGGAAGGTACAGTGGATGCTGTCACATACAGTGATGTAAATCACAGTTAACTTCACTGAAATTAGTGGAATCCCACCTGAAGTGAATTACTTCAGTGGTGATAGTGTCAGGCACAGTTTTTGTATGAGGTGCTTCACCAGTTAAATGGAGAACAGTCTATATAGGATGCTTTAAGGTTTGCATCAGGGTCTTATATATGTAATTTTAAAGATCTGTATATTTTAAAGCAATTTTGAAGATCTTAATCAGTTGCTTTAAGCTCCTTGTTGTAGTAATAGGGATAAATTAATATTTTTTTAAAAAAGTAAAGGAAAATATGAAAATTATTAAATGTAGCAAAGGACTGGAAGATAGCCATATTTGAGATTCAGTGCTTTGGTTACAGCCTAGTTAAGCCATCTGGACCTGTCTGCACTGCCACATCAGTTAGGTATTGCTCTAACTGCTGACTTCAAGATCTGCTTTAGCATTTACTTTCTGACACATTTGCCCTTGTCTTCAGTAAAATCCATCTGATTTCCCTGGGATTCCTAGGAATTCCATGAGAGTTTGGGTGAATGAGCTGGAGTTTCACTGGACCAAAAGAGCTTCAGCAACATGGCCCCCCTCACAGACTCAACATCCATCTCCTCATTCTTAACTGACCCTAATTTGGGCAACCTCCTGGGTGTGTTCAGGTCAATTCTGCTTTTGTCTAAAATATGGAGACCTGACTGCCTACTGATGGGATCATCATGTAACTATTTGGTAAACAGAACACAGAAAACCAAACACATCCTCTTTTACTGCCAACCACCATGGTTTCTTTGATCCGTTAGTGTCCTTCAGCAGGATTTCCAAGATGCCAGCTAGCAGGGGTGGGGGAAGGGGAAGACACACACATTTCAGGGAAAAATAAAATCCACCCCAGGAAACCAAGCATATAATCCGCTTGGGTTCACATCTGCCCTCAGGTTTAAATGACAGACTGATTTTCTACTAGCTGCTCTTTCAGCCACGCTGTTTTTGCTGTATATAGTTTGTGTGCTTTGTATACACATTCCTCTTCCTGTCTTTCCTGTATTCATCAACCCTAATCGTACCTTGGTATCTGTTACGCTTTTAGCCCCTATCTTGACCCATTTTAATTACCTTATTACCTCTTCATGATAAGAAAGTCTTACCTCAGTGACCTTTTTAATTTTCTCAATACCTTTCTGTTTTCTTAACCCTTTACTAAGTGTTTGCTGCTTAGCCTTTTTTTTTTTTCTTTGAAGCCTTCTGTTTTCTTTCCATTTGCAAAATCCTCTTGATTCTCATTTTCTCTCACTTCTTTTCAGATCATGTCACATGGTTGAAATAGTGTACTGAACCATCAAATGGATAACAGATAGATATTTTCATTTGTTTTATTTTAATTTAATGTAATTCTTCTTATTATTTATCTACTTCCAAGTTTCCATAAATGGGGCAAATGATATTTGCCTATTTTACTAAATTCTCTACCTCCATTTAATAAATTTTGAACTGTGCTATTTACTCATGTGCTAATCTCACATAGAATTTGAGCAATTATTAAGGCAACTATCTGTTAAAAGCTGGAAGTAGATAAAGGTATGGGATTGCATTCTAATTTAAGAACATCCCAAAACAAGACAAAAGGTGCTTTTTGTGAGTTTGGCAGTGAGACTGCATTAATTTTCACATGCATTACTGTCTTTCTCAGGCCAGCCCTTAATGTCTGTTCTTTGTCTCCTGTGTCATGTATGAAGCAATTTGCATGTTGATTTGTTCAGTTCCCAGCACTGCCTGGTGACTGAAAGGCTATTTGACATCGTTCTGTGATTTGTGTTATTTCTAATGTTCCTTTTTTTAACTAGATGTTTGATAGTCCTTTCCTGTGTGTTATTGTAGACTCTTGGACCCTGGACCTATGGACTAAATTTTCTACACTAGTGTACACTTTGGGTCTCTAATATTTATCCTTCATCTATTCCATCTTTTTAATGACTGCTTTGATGTCAGTTTTGAGGAGATGTGATCACATTTCCTCATGATATATAGCCTGTCCTAGAACTATAGATTACCAAACGAGGAGCATGTTTCCTGAAATGGCTGTCATCAGTACAAGTCTGGAATACCTGCCTCTTTTTATTTAATTTTTCCTGCTTTTCAGGCAAGTAGAGTAAAGGTTCAAACTTCTCCATCCTTAGGGAACTTTGAATTTTCTGACCTGCTGGAGTGATGCCTTCAGTGAGACTACTTATTTGAATAAGTACTGGTCATATAACGGTTGCCCGATCCAGATGAGTGATAAACAGTTGCTGTATATCTTTTAGGATATGAAATGCATTCTTTGGTTTAATTTCATTCTTGGTAGCCTTGATTTGACATATAAATGTGAGAATATTTACCCAAGAATTTGTAATAGAGTTAGAATGAACCTGTGGTTACAAGTTGTTGACAATGTTTAGGAAACAATCACTGTACTGAAAAAGTAGTGACACATCAAGGTTAATAGTAATTTATTACCTGCAAAGAATATACTGCACCACTTTATGCATGCTGGTTATGTTTTTGCTTTGTTCATGGACAGAACCCACTCTGTTGGCAGGGCCCTAATAAGCACCATGGGGTTTACACTCCTCCAAGATGTATTCAGGCTCCTCTCAGCATGACTAGCATTTTCCTTGCTCGTGTGTTTCAGAAATGTTTTTTTCAGGCTGGCTGCAGACTCAAGGAGGAAGATCAGGTTTGGATGTCTAGTTTCAGCCATTTATTTGCAGCTACAACAAAAATGAAAATAAAAAAAAAACACACAAAAGAAGAAAAATTGGATTTTTAGAATGCATCTCAAAGGACACAGGTCCACATATGTTTGATTTGGCAACAAAGCCCTTTTAAGAGGTTGCCATCTTCCCTCAATCCATCCCTGCCCTGTGCCCTGTGCCATGATTTGCTACCTGCCAATTCTGCTGATGATGCTCTCTGTGGGAGTGCAATGTAAACCTTTCGGAGGAAAGGAATGGCTGTTTTATATGTGATTCATGTTACAGTCCCTAAAGTGGTTGCATTCAGACAACTGAGGGTGTGAAGTATGGCACAGGGCTGGGTGTCACAGGGCAAAGGGAGCCAGGAACTGTTAAGTCTGAAGTTAGAGCCCTGCCTTGGGTCTGCATTGTGAATCCAGCTCTGATACGTGAATTACCAAGTGCTGTTTGCTATCTTCTTAGTCTGGAAAGAATATTTCAGTACAAAGGTTGCTCACAGTACTGTACTTCACTCTTTGTTAATAGGCACAGTGATGACACCAAACTACATAGACTCAAATAGTCTCAGCGTTGCCCCATGGTGTGACTGCAGCAACAGTGGTAATGACGTAGACGAATGCCTGAAATTTCTGAATTTCTTCCAGGACAATACATGCCTTAGTGAGTACAAAATTAGATGTCTTTAAATGTGTTTTAGAATGTTTTCTGAAATTTCTTTACTGTTTAAGTATGTTATGATACATCAAGGCCATCTCTTTGCACCTTGTAAGCATAGTTCTTCTTTCTAAGAATTAAGCAAATGAGCAAATACATCTGATACTATGGCTTATGGCCAAGATTGCAAACATGAGAAGCTCTTGGAAAAAAATTCCGATAACAAAGTTGCATCATGTAGAAATATGTTTACATCACAGATCATGTTCAGACCCTAACAGTCAGGCAGCATCTGTACCAAAAAATTACAGCACCGGAGGGGCTCTGTATAATTTAAGAACTTCATATAAAAAAAGACATGTAGTTTATGATATGAAGGATTTGCTGTAGGTAAGTATAAATTGGATTGTGCTTACAATTTATAGGCAAGCTTCAGGTTTTTTAGGTTACTTGATCTCAGATGCCTGGTTTTAAACACCGGTCTGGATGGTACCTATTTTCAAGATTTTGTTAAATTATTGATTTTTTTTTTTTTTTCAGTGAAACTCACTTCCAAATTAGGGACTGTTATAAATTTCAGAATGGCTCAGTGGAGTCGATTTTGGCAGGTTCTCTTTTCAAATTTCCTGTCTGCCTGGAGCAGCATAATTGGATGATGTGGAGTGTGCATCAGAGTTTTAATTTCAGATAAATGAGGAGACCAAAAGAGCTTGGCTTTTCTAGCCTAGCAGAACATAAGTTGAAAGGATACGTGATTGTTCTCTGAAATTGCATTAGAGGGGCAAGCCCAGGGAGGGAAAAGGATTACTTAAGCTAGAGGACAATGTTGGCACAAGATCAAAAAGGGAGATATTGGCCATACATATTTAGGCTTGAAATTGGAAAATTTTTAGCTATCAGACTAAAGTTAAGAAATAGGCTTCCAGCAGGAGTTTGGGGGATAAAAAATTCTTACCAGTTTTAGAAGTCATATTTTATCAGTTTATGAAAGGAAGCACACATAGTTGTTTTTTTCAAAAATAATGAATGATCTTGATGACCCAGACTGTCCCATCCAGCCCTATATACTTAGGCTAACAGTAATGCCAGGTTCAGTCTATATTTTAGTATAGCGGTCTGAAAATCTCCATTGGTAGTTTCAAACCAGGCAGCATATTGTGAAGACATGGGGAACTTTGCATACAAAAAGTGAGTGACTTGAGTTGTTTATTTGATACAATATTTATTAAGCTTTGGAAGAATTAATAAATTACTCAAGATAATTCAACAAAAAATCCCAGAACACAATTCAGACTATGATTGGGTAAAAGTTAACAATATAGCATCAGACTTGCTTCAAACCTAATGAGGCTGCCATTTACATATACTGTAATACATCAGATTTTATTCATTTGTGAATGTATTAATTGCTGGAATGTTACAGGTTCCTTTTAGAACATAACAGAATGAACAAGACAGAATGATCCCTTGTCCTTTCTTTTGCTATCAGTATAAAAGCATTAATGAAGACAAATCAAAGACATTAGAGGTTACTGTGAGACAAATTATAGTCATCCTAGCTGTAAGAGATGTCATCTACATGAAGAAATTGAAGATGTTTCTGGTTTAATAAAAAGTTTTTTCTCTTACAGAGAATAGGAAAAGTTCCAATTATTATTTTTTTTAATTGTCATTGTCATTAATGGGCCTATAGTGCCTGAAGAAAATGTCATTTGTTTAGTGGATGAGATTAAAATCCAGTTTTTTTAGACAAAACAAAAATCCTTTTTCCACAATGGGGTGAAATCAGGAATTTCTTGCTAGTCTGTATTGCTAAAGTATACTTCCCCTTCAAACTGGAAAATAAACCAGTGATTTGGGGCATTTACAGAAGGTGTGGAGAACCTAGTTTAAATGTGTATTCAAAAATCCATTTGGTTATTTATGTGAAGTAAAAAGCAGGAGACCTAGGGTCACATTCATACTGTGCTTGATGTGGAGCTGGGATATGAAGCTGAGTTACCATGTCCCACATACACACCTGAAATCCTGATCTTTCTTGCACCTCTGTATGCACTTGCCTAGAAATTCCACTCTACAGTTGGAAAGACTTTTGCAACAGATGTTAAGTTGAAACTAGAGTGGAAGTTTTGATTTCAAAACATGGATGTGAAAATACAAGTGAAAATTCCAGTCTGTTTTAATAACTAGTCCCAAGAAAGAAAAATATTGCATTGTTTTACCTTTGGCATCTATTAGATAACTGTTTCTTTATGTCAAAATTTTCCTGCAGAATATGGGTTTATATCAGAACTGTGAAATTGGCTCAATCTCAAGAAAGCTAAAAATCCAAATTAATAGGCCCCAAATAAGATATATTCAACCTTAAATTTTGGGGCTGTGTATTATCTTGCATGTACTTTTATCCTCTTTATTGGAAGATGCAAGTTCACTGGTAATATTACAGTGGTCCTAATTGCTGTCTCTCTAGTTAGAGTTTGGCCAATCTTAAGTCTTTAAGACTTTATTTTAGCTACTCTGGAAGTGGATGTCCTGACATTCATTTGCATATTCTAGAATTCCTACTGAACTGAATGGGATTCAATATATCTAGCTATCTGTTCAAAGGATTTGCTCACACCTGCTTCATACTGCAGTAAAAAGAATTGGCAAGTGGGAGAAAAAGCATAAAGCAGTGAGTTACTTAATAAAAATTATTGAAAGGACCTTTGCTAGAGCAGTTATACACTTGAAGTACCTCCTTACAGTCATTATGTTTTTTGAAATGTATTTGAAATATGTATGAAAATTATATCTATAAAATACATATTTAAAATATAATTTATATATTTGAAATATTATGAAAATATGAGGAGGGATGGAGCACATCTTCTATATGGACAAGTGGAGAGAGTTGGTGTTGTTCAGGCTGGAGAAGAGAAGACTCCGGGGAGACCTTAGAGCGGCCTCCCAGGGCTTAAAGGGGGGACAGGAAAGATGGGGACAGATGTTTTAGTAGGACCTGTAGTGCTACGACAAGTGCTGATGGTTTTAAACTAGAGGAGGGTAGATTCAGGCTAGATATAAGGAAGATATTTATACAATGAGGGTGGTGAAGCACTGGAACAGGTTTCCCAGAGAGGTGGTAGATGCCCCATCCCTGGAAACATTCAAGGTCACATTGAACAGAGCTCTGAACAACCTGATCTAGTTGAAGATGTCCCTGCTTATTGCAGGGAGTTTGGACTAGATGACCTTTAAATGTCCCTTCCAACCCAAACTATGTCAAGTTGGAAGGGACCCATAAGGATCATCAAGTCTGATTCTATGAAAGGATTAAACAAGACTAATTGTAAAGACTACTTTTACTTAGAAAACTGGAAGGATTGCATGTATTTCTGTGATCCTTCTTGCAACAATGCAAACAAAGAGTTAATTTAGGAAATAATAGGAAAATATTGCTTTATACATTTCCTTATTCAGGTAAAACCAAGAAAAATATCATTCCACCCTTCTCGCTTTGTTTCTATCAACCCAGCTGATTGTGGTGCCTTTTACAAATTCTTCTCTTTGCATGTTGGAGTTCTAAAAACTAATATCAGATTAAAATACATCTTTTTCAGATGAGAATTAAATGTAAATTATTTTATAAGGCAAGGAATACCACTGAGAAGAAGTATTAATAACTTCCACATATTAGTCTCCAGTGAAATTGTTTGATATCTTGTACAAAGAATTTGAAATAAGAAATCCCCAAATCCATGTTGAATCCCCAAAGACCCGATTAAAAAATATTTTTCTATTTGTTTATTAAAAAAACCCAACCAATTTACTCTTGCCATAAACACACTCTTTAATCCCATGAAACTGTGATAAGCTTTTTAACTTTTATATACTAAAGTTTTAGTTTAAGCATGTTTTCCTCACCTAATTATGCAGATTTTGGTTGAAAACTATAAGGAAAAGATTGTCTTAGTTAAATCATTTTGTCGTTAAAGGCATATTAGTTTTACTACAACATGCTGTAGAAATAAATTAATACTTTGCCTGTTCTCTGTTTCTAGTTTGCTATGTAACATCACCTGCCTGAATTAGGACATAACATTCAAACTGTGTTTTAAATCTTGAAAGTTAATTTTTGAAGCTTTTTGGTGGTAACAAATATGATTACAGTAAGTCCTAGAGCTTCTGTCAAGAATTACTGGGAACATTACAAAGAAGAGGCTGCACCAGATAATTATGTGACCCCAGAATCTCAGTTCATGTTTCTAATATGTTAAAAATTAAGACACATTTTTCAGCATAAAAATTGAGTTTCTATAAATACACATTTTCAATAGAATAATAATAATGATTAAAAAGTCAATTCTGCTTTCTGCCATTTGTTTAGAAATAGAAAATTGCCTGTAATTTATTTTTACAGAAAATGCAATTCAGGCCTTCGGCAATGGTACTGATGTGAATGTGTGGCAGCCAATCTTACCAGTACAAACCACTACAGCCACAACTACAACAGCTTCCAGACTTAAAAACACAGGTTCAGAGACCACCAACAATGAAATACCCACCCACAACGATTCACCAGCATGTGCAAACCTGCAGGTAAGAGAGTCTTGTACTTATATAAGTACATAAATTAAAGTACATAAACTAAAGTTTTTCTTAGATATGTATACAGAGCAGTCTCCTGCATAAATAGATGCCTGCTTAAATTGGAATATCTGTTTATTTCCATGTTGTAGTTACAAACTGGATATATTATAAAATATCAGGCACTCTTATTTTAAATCAGAAACATGCGTATTTCCAAGTCAACTTTATTGCCTCTCTGACTCAGAAGCAGAACATAGTATTTAATTTCTTATCACAGGTTTGAGTATGAATGTGGCATTCTCCAAACCAGGATATGTCAGATTAAATTAATCCCCTGAGTAATCCAAATTCAGAGGGAACTCTTAATGTCAGCTAGCATGTCCTGCTGTCTTTGTTATGTTACTGACAGTAAACTCAAGAGATTGTTTGGCTGAGTAGGTCTGGATACTAGAGAATATGTGATGCTACAAACTACATGGTGAAGAATCTGGACAAAGATAGAAGTTACTCTGAATTAGGTGTTTTCCTGAACGGGAGTCAAGGTCATGATGTGATTTTGGCCAATGGATATAGTGATTTTCTTCGACACTTCAGTTAGGCTATTTATGGTGCATCACTGATTCTGGATTTAGAGGCTTATCACTTGCTGAAGGCATTATATGCAGCTCTTAGAAAGTTTGAAGAAGTTGGGCAGGAGACAACTACAAAATCAAGGCAGGAAAGAGGTAACAGGAAATGTAAGCTGAAAACATCCTTAGGCCAGATTAGAATCAGGGGTTATAAAAATTTCTGGTGGTTTAAATGCAAAATTAGGTCAGGGATAGATCAGCTTAGCCTCTTTATTTTTGTCTTCACAGAAGGAAAATGGATACATGACACAAACAAAAGTGTCCAAGTTTTAAATTCTTATCTGGTATTAAGATATTTTTTTCTGGATTCCCAAACTCTTCTGTACCTGTAGCATTCACATCTCACTTACTTATAAAAAATTTATTTTGTATTTTTCATATTAAACTATATCAAAGTTTCCATGATCACTAAAATGGACAGTTTGTAAACGTTGGAAATTTATTTTGCTTTTTGTTTTTTCCTGCACCACTCTCTCTCCTTTATCCTTTTCTGGTCTCTCCATTTATTTTGCATTGACAAACTGCATGTGAATTAACATTTTTCAGAGGCATTACGGAGTCATAAAATAGACGAGGTTAGTGGTATATGGTGTTGAGTTTAGGTCCTTCTGTTTTAATTCTGTTTTTCATATCTCCGCATTCATTACTAGTTAAGCTTTGTAAGTTATTGATGAGAGGGAGCTAGTTCTAGGCATATCTTTCTGTATGCAGCAGTCATTTGACCAAATAGAATATGCTAAAAAGAAGCGTAACCTTTTAAACATAAAACTTGGAATATCTTGCATTTAAAGCAAGACCTTGATTGGATATTTTTAATTCACTTCATGTTATATTAAAAAGTTGGTTTATGGGAGAGATCACATTTTCCTTCAGTGTTTATACAGTCCCCTGTAGAGTAAGGCCTCCAGATGCTACCAAAGTACACATGATAAATAATGAAACGAAGAAATGGCAAGTGATCACAAATCCCACTGGATTCAGTTTGATTTGCAAATGTTCCTTAAGCCTGAATAGGTGTTCCAGTGTTCTGAAAATTAATCAAATTCTTTCCTGTCCTTACTCCTGTTACTCTGGCATTTTGAAGTCACATCCCACATGAGTTTATCAGCACTGGTTTAAATCTATGTTATGACTTCCAGTGTACCCCTGATATACCTGACACAAGAAGTAAAGGTCTGTAGAGAATCAGCTTCCTTTAAATAAATGGTCTCTGCTGTTTTGTAGAAACTATAGATATGTCTGCACTAAAAGGTCGCTGAAGTTATGTGAATCAAGTAGTTTTATTCTTGTGAAGTACAACATTCTAGTGCTCACTGCTTCCTTGTGTCAGAACTGAAACAGAAAGAACAAAGCTCTTATATTTTAATGCATTTTTCAGAAAATAACTTACTAATAGAGCCAAAGCAAGCCCACATTTTTTTAAAAAAGAAACCTGTGGTTTTTGGACAGTATGGTGCCACTTTGCATTTGAGACTTAAACCTCAATGCAAATTTCACAAAAGAACTGGAGGCATTCATATCACACTTGGAGAAGGGTATTCATTCCAAGGCTCTCTTCCCATGAAAAATATGCCTTTGTAGCATTTTCAAAACATGAACTAGCACGACCAAGAGCGGTCTGAAAGGCTTTGTTACATGCTTAGCAGTTGAGCTGAAAGGTTTCAAAAAGGCAATAAACACTGTGAAAAGTAGAATTAAAAGCATTAGTCTCAGCACAAAAAGACAATGGCGGGGGGAGGATAAGGAAATGATCATTGGGATGCTACAAGGCTGCATATCCTAGTTAGTGGGTTTAAAAATACAGTGAAGAGATAAAGAGAAGGAAGTGATTGATTAGTATAAATTGCCATAGAAATGAACAAATACTAACCTCCTGGGGTTGTAAAATACAGGGCACTAACCCAGTCTGCCAAGAGTGTCACTGGCTGAGCAATTTTCGATACATTTTTTTCTGACTTGTTCAGAATGATTGTATGAGAAGCAAGAATACACTAATGGTTTTGTTGCTGTGCCATGTTCTAATGTACACATGCAAACCTGGGAATTGAAAGGGCTGTAAATGCTTAAAGAAAATATGACATAGTCTTTGTTTACCTGTACTCAATATTTATTCTTAATACCTGTTGAAGCTTTGGACTTCTAAACAATTTTTTTTTCGCTGATGCTGTTTAGAGATTGTTCTTCATTTCAACTTACTATTGCTACCAGAATTTACAGTTTCCTATTATGGTTGTATTTTCTTATTTCAAATTAATACAGAGAAATGTTAATTTCTTATATATGCTTATTTTATGTTTAGATATGCATGGATTTGTGTAGCATACTTTTTTTTCCTATCCCTAAATTAAATCAGTATCCATCTTTGCCAGGAAAATGCTTAGATTTTTCAAGCATCCTATAAAATCTTTGGTAAATATCTGGCTTCTAACAAAGTTTGCTAAACAGATAGTTGTAAATAGGTGGTAAATAAGATGATAAATTCAAGTATTTACTGAGGTACTTGACATCTTATAAAGGATCCTCAGCACCACATAAAAATAATTTATAAAATATTATGAACAAAAAGGAAGATGAATGCCAACACTGTGCTCCTTATACAGGCATATTTTATTAAATAATTGCTATCCCTCTCTTTTTTTTCTGATACCTTCACTCTAATGTTTTCTATTTAACGGACATATTTGCTTATCCTTCATTCTCAATAGTAACTTGTGTTCAGTACACCAGTCAAAAAATGGTTAGTCTTTCAGTCTCATGTTCTATCACCACTGTTTGAACTGTCACGTTGGATTTTAAAGGGACAAAAGAATGAGTTTGGATGTGTACTCACACCATGTATTCTTCAAGAAAAATGCTGCTTCTGGATTTAAGAGAGCTGAGTGAAATTGAAAGATGATAATGAAATAACTTCAAATGATAAATTAGACTAGATTAGATAAATTCTTACTACATCATCATCAGAGATGAATAAAAATCTAAGACTTTCATACTGGGTTTGCTACAGTATTTTAGAGGACATTTTGCACAAGACAAAAATGATAGAAGTCAAGATGGTTACAGACGCATGTCTAAATTTATGCATTTAATTCTATCACCTCCCTAGCTAGTTCTATACCTTTTTTTTCCCCACATTTATTATAAATGTCTTCGCTAGTTAACCTTAGTTCAGCATTCAGAGTAAATTTAAGGTTGTTTTTACTTTTGAAGAAATGTAAGCAGTGGACACATGTAATTGGGGTACATGGCCCTTCAGACTTGAAGACAATCACCTTTCAGTCGAGCCCAGTATGTGAATGTCTTTCTACTCTCAGCAGCAAAATTTAAAAAATTACAAGATAGGGATTAAAAAGCTCAAACATTTGTGGGGAACAAGGAGGTTCCAGAGCTGAACGCAGTACTTCAGGTGGGGTCTTACAGGAGCAGAGCAGAGGGGGAGAATCCCCTCCCTCAACCTGCTGCCCCCCCTGCTCTGGATGCAGTCTGGGGCACAGTTGGCTTCCTGGGCTGTGAATGCACATTGCTGGCTCACAGTCAGTTTTCCATCCACTAATATGCCCGCATCCTTGTCCTCAGGGATGCTCTCAATCCACTCTTCACCCAGAGTGTATTTCTGCTTGAGATTGTCCCGACCCATGGGCAGGACCTTGCACTTGGCCTCAAACTTCTTGAGGTTTGCACAGGCCCACCTCTCAAACTGCCCAGGTCCCTCTGGATGGCATCCCTGCCCTCAGCGTGTCAACGCACCACACAGCTCCGTGTCACTGGCAAACTTTCTGAGCGTGCACTCAATCCCACTGTCCATGTCACCGACAAAGATGTTGAGCAGCACTGGTCCCAACAGTGACCCCTGAGGAACGCCACTCGTCACTGCTCGCCACTTGGACATCGAGCCATTGACCACAACTCTTTGATTCCTTATCTATCAAGTTTTCCACCCATCAAATCCACGTCTCTCCAATTTAGAAATGAGGATATTGTGCAGGACAGTGTCACATGCTTTGCACAGGTCTGGTAGATGACGTCAGTTGCTCTTCCATATTCACCAATGCTTTAACACCATTGTAGAAGGCCACCAAATTTGTCAGGCACAATTTTGCCTTAGTGAAGCCACATTGGCTGTCACCAGTCACCTCTTTATTATCCATGTGCCCTAGTATAGTTTCAAGGAGGATCTACTCATTGATCTTGCCAGGCACACAGGTGAGAGTGACTGGCCTGTAGTTCCCTGGGTCTTCCTTTTTCTCTTTTTAAAAATGGGGGTTATGTTACCCCTTTTCTAGTCCATGAGACTTTACTGAACTGCCACAACATCTCAAATATGATGAATAGTGTCTTAGCCACTTCATCTGCAAGTTCCCTCAGGACCCATGGATGTATCTC